CTTACGTATGATTCGTGCATGCCGTGCTTGAGTTTTCTTCTTGCAGAAAACCACCTCAGAGTTTATTTAATTACATGGAACCCGTGAAAAAATGTCCCTAAAATTACATGGAACCGGTCCTGCGATATGTCTTACGTATTGATGCCAGTTAATTTATTTTTTAACGTTTATTAATTATATTTTTAGTGCATATATTTCAAACACTAACAAAAAATTCAAACCAGGAATTTGAAAAAAATGATAACTAGTATAAAATACTTAGCGCTGTTTTAATAAAGTGTCGCTAACTTTTTAAAAAAAATCGTTGCAATAAAGAAAGTTCCCATGTTTCAAAAAATGCATGCAAATTAATAAAAAAGAAAGACATTATTAAAAATATTGTTGCATAATACAAAAAATGTTCGGTATCATTTAAGAAAATGTACATGGCATTTTCAGCAAATATTACCGCATTTCAAATAAAAGGTTTGTGACATATAAAAATGATAATACAACATGAAAAAAATCCCTGTGTAGGTCGAACAAAAAGTTATTTACAATTAGAAAAATGTACAAGCCATTTTAATAAAATAATCATGTGTTCCAAAAAATGTCCGTGAAATCTTCGGAAAGGTTTATACAATACAAAAAAAAGTTTGCACAAGTTAGAGAAATATTTATTGCCATAGAAAATGTACATGATGTATTTGGAAAAATGTTACCATGTATTCAAAAAAAATATTTGAAACATATATTTTCAAAAAGGTGTGACTTGTATTTAAAAAATTTCCAATGTGTATCATAAAAATGTTTCACTTGTGCTCTAAAAATGTACACACAGAACATAGACAATGTATTGAAAAAAAATCCCTGATAAAAAAACAATGAAGCCCGAAGAAAACCAAGAAAGAAAACAAAATAAAATCAAAGTATAACAAAGAAAGAAAACAAAAAAAAGAATGAGAAAACAAAGAAAATTGAAGAAAAATAAAAAACTGTGAAAAAACATATAAAATCAAAGGAAAAAAAAATCAGAATATACAAACCAGAGCTGAATAGACCTACAACATGCGAGCAAACAAACCGTGCTACTAGGCCAGCCCGCTAGACTTCGGCCTTAGGCAAATCTTATTAGGAATCTGTACGGGCGGCATATAGCCTTGGTGGTATCGATCTTGGAACCTTCCGGTTGCGGGTTGCATAGCCACACAAGCAATCCACTACGGCAAAGACTGCTTAGGAAAGATTCATGAGCTAGAAAGGTACCTCTTCGACCTCTATTTTCTCTATACATATGGAGCTGCTATAGGCCGGCACACATTTTTTTAAATTTATTTTCAAGTTCATGTATATTAGTATTTTTTTTCATTTGACAGATGAAATGTATGAAAAAAAAGTAGTTGTCATAAAACTGAAAGAAAGTGTTAGTGCATTCAGAAAATCTTTTAAAAAAATGTTTGGGCAAAAAAATGTTCACCGTGTTTTTAGAAATGTTCAACATTCTTGTAGAAATGTAAGACTAATTTTACACAAAAATCTTTTAAAAATTGTTATAAAGAGTTTTGCCTAAACTTATCATTACATTTCTACAAGAACGTCTAACATGGCTTAATAAATTTCTAGAATTTATTATCATCACACAAAAATTTTAATACACGTTGAACAAATTTCAAAATATAATGTTGTCAACTATTGAATTATTGTGTATCTTGGGAATACAACGAAGATACACAATAATTGTGTTTTTTGAACGCAATACAGACCCAGACGCTCATACATACGCACACACACCCACCCATATGAACGCACGCACACACACCCTACCCGAAGAGATTCTATGAGAAACTGAGCCGGCACATCATTTTGAGATTGACGAAGTCGTCATAGACGCCTTCGTAGACGAGGGAACGTCTCCTCCCACTGAATGCACATCGACGCAATGCCTGAAATAAATTAAGAAAAATGCAAGCGTCAGTGTCAAGTCTGGGATTTAAACCCTGGTTCTAGCGGGGTTGAGGATACCACTTTCCACCTAAGTATTCAACCACAGGTTGATTCACCAATAATTATGTGTGATTGTGGTTTTGAATGAAGATACATAAATTTACACAATAATTTTACACGCTGAACTGTATTATAGAAATATTAATACATTTACATTTTTATATGGGAAAATCTACATATCATGGACTTGGGAGAAAATAAAAGAGAAAATAGGTAGGATTTTACGATACATGGAATCTGTATTCCATATTCTATTTCTTTTTAGTATACTGGCAGGTGGATCCAACGGTTAAATTAGATGTGAGGGGGTATTTTGTAAGAAAAACTTACAGTAAACCACCCAGGACCTCCCTCCTCCCACACACTGACCGATGGGCCGATGCCACGTGACCAACACATTCGCGCGAGCCTTTCTCTCGAATAGGCCCTCTGCTGATGGGGTGGGCGCGGCGTACACGAAACATACTCCCTTCATTTTTATATACAAGACCACAAACTCATATTACAGGTATCAAGATAAAATTTAATGCATACTTTGCAAGTCAATCTTTTTTTCGTTTACTGAGATCATTAATACGCACACATACATGCAAGGAAACTGAGTGGAGGAAATAGCTAGTGTCATTATGATGGCATGCATGAAAGTATTAAACATGTTACTAGTACGAGGAAATATCATTGATTCTTTCCTCGATTACTGTTGGTGGCCTTGTATAGATGCAAAACATATATCCCATAGTGGCCTTGTATAAGTAAATGGAGGGAGTATGTTTTTTTTTTTAGAAAAAACCATCATGGCTTAGCTTTATTAAGATGGAAAAAAAATGAATACATTGTCTACAAGCGAATTCACTAGATTGTCTGGTGGCTCGTCAAGCCAACTTCTAGAAGTCTTATTACGGAAACTGAAATTAGCTAGCAAATGCGCCACTTGATTTTCCAATCGATACTCCAATGTCAACACATTCCACAAAAGTTGCAGCCGTAGGATCCCACCATGTGTTCTGTCCCGTACAGAAATTGATAAACTCCTGTGAGTCTGATTCAGCCTCGACCCTGTGTGTTAAACGTACATTGAGGCGGTATTCTTAAGTTTCGGGATCATAGTGACACTGTTTTTGAATTTGGGGATCGTTTTGGAGTTTACCAGCAAGTGCATTTTGGTCCGGGCGACTCGGGTGGATCGGAGGGAGAGGGAGAGACAGACCTCCAGAGGCACACGGACGCACGCTGCGCGTGGTTGTACAGCGGGCAACGCGGGGCAGGATGGGTGGATGGATGCTCTGCTCTGCTCTGCCGTGCCGCCTGGCCGCCGGGCTGCCGCGCGGAGATACGGAGAGGTTGGCGTGCGGTCAGGGGTGACCGGGTTGGAAGCCAAACTCGTCTGCTCTGTCGGTCGCCCGGTTGATTGAGCGACGTTGTTGCATCTCTCTCTACCATCACAGCTCACATGCCTACCTACCTCCGTACCAATTGTATCTTTCTCCCTCGTTTTTATCTTCTCAAGCTACGGCTGGCGCAGCACATCCCAACGAACACGCAATCTAGCCGGACCTAGAGGAGAGTAGAGATCACACGGATAAAGACAGGATTATTCATCTATACATGCGTGCTTGCTAAAAACATCAGGTAAATGAAAATACATTTTTCCTACCAGAGAAGGCAGCGTGGTGTGGAACTCCCAGTCCGAGACGGGGGTGACGTGTCATCCCGACGAGGCCTCGCCAGGACCTGGCCGGAGACGGGGATGTCGCGGCTTCACCGTCGGTAGGAGATGCTTTAATGTGAAATGACATGTGTGGTCTTAAAAACCCACTCCCTTCAGCTATGTTTATTCACCGTAAATGACGAAAATGTAGAAGAAAAATGTTGTTCACCCGACGATTGAACGGTTCGATCGGTCACTCATGTAGCGCTGCAATGAAGCTTCCGATAGTGTGTCACCCTAGTCGTCGTAGCGCCCCACTCCCACCATGCTCCGCTCTATTGCCGTTGCCGCCTTCCTTTGGCCGCATCTCCCACTCCTCTACCACTATTGCTTATCCTCACCTGTGCTGGTTGACAGACACCTAGCTGGCATAGTGGGGCGCGAGTACGAGCCAAAAAATAGAGCTACCGCCGTTGTCGACTTGAAGAAGACGAAGGCCGGGAGCGGATGGGTGCAGGAATGACGGCGATGATCCGGCGTGCATACGTCCCTGGAGAGCCCGAGACTGCAAAGTGGGTGCTCAAAATGAAGGTTATTGATTTAGGGATTTCTTCATATGTTGCATATGTTCGTTGGACATATTTCAATCTTGTTTTTAATTTGCTGCAATCACACATACAACTTGTTGTGATGATTCTTGTTGTCTATTGCAAGCGTTCCTTTTTTTTTTTATCACGGGTCTATGTTTACATCGTTGCATGTGTTGGCTTCTATGTGGCATTTGCAATGTTTTTCTTGGTAATTTGTTGTGACCATTGGATATTCATTCTATGCAGATGTAAAAAAATGCTGCATCAGTTATCTCAAATGTTATAGCATGTATTTTAGTATTTACAT